CTACAGTGGGTAATGTTTTCAAGAAACATTGAACAGTGCTGCCACATATGACATAGGGAAAAAAGAAAAGACTCTGAACCCTTTCTTTGCCATTATATAAAAATAGTGTTGCTACAAAAGTATAAATTAGGCTTACTAATAAGACAACTCAGATCTAAAGTTACACAGGAATCTGCTGCCAAAGTGCAATAAAAAAGACAAAATTAATAGAATCAAACCCTTTTTTTGTTGTATTTTAGTCGAGTATAAAAAGAAATGCCTTTTTTAAAATAGGATGCAAGCAACACTAGTTTCTTAACCTCAATTGATAATAGACTATAATCAATTTAAGTTTGCATTCTTATACCATTTTGTACAATAATTATAATGAATAAGTTCAAACAAACTAAAACTTACAGCTGATTAATAATGGTATCTAACTTGAGTTTTTATCAAAAACCTGTTGAAATGCTACTGTTTTTTTACTGTCCCCCAAAAGCGCGTCGCAGCCTCCAGGAATGCTTCTTTCACCACTTCGCCGTCTTTGAAAGACTTCATGTGTTTCGCAAGAACGTGACTGACACGATAAGATGCTCTGGTAGCAGCCTTGCTCTTGTTGTTGGGCCGGATGGACTGCTGTGCATTTAGCTGTCCTTTCAGGCCCCTCCCCTTTTGGGAGCGTAGGGCAGAATTAGGAGGGAGTTCCGTCTCGTAGCGTTTGTGCACTGTTTTGAAATGCCGCTCCGAAATTACCCTTCTTCGATAAAGCTACGCTCGCATTGCAGATGAGACAGATGGACTTTGAATTGGAATGAATACAAAAATAATCATCCTCCCACTCGGAGTTAAAATTATATATGTTTTGCTTCTGCCATAATTGCGGTCTTGTTTGTGTGCGGACTGTCACTCCTGTTGACACGGACAACGTTAGCGAATTAGTGCACTGCCCACTAGCCACGCCCCGACACATGGGGTCACGCCGGCCAATCACAAAGCTTTGATGCGTTCAAGTGCATTATTCTGGCACAGGAAGATTATGTTATAGGACATTAACGATAAAACAGAATATTGTTGTTCTATTTTTAGACACATCTCGCGATCGACTGGGAATCTCCCCGCGATCGACCGGTCGATCGCGATCGACTGGTTGGGCACCCCTGCTTTACAGAGATGCTGTATGCGAAACCAATGTGAGTTTGGAAAATGGCACAGTATACATCTATTCTAGTAGACCTCAACAATGGAATTATGATCAGTGGAAATGGCCATGACATGTGACCTTTAAGGGATGAGCTGCCAACACTCACAAGCATTATTTACCTACATTAACTTATAACTGAACTTATGAGGCAAGATACCTCTAGTGCAGGGGTGTCAAACTCAATGTCATCGCGGGCAACATTAACATTATGGTTGCATTCAAAGGGCCGGTTGTAACTTTAAGACTATATAAAAATACATATATAAATATTTAATATATATAAAATAACGTATTATATTACATTATTGCCTCTGCATTGGATTATTTTCGGAATACGTCTGAAAGAAGAAGTCTAGGGCAAATAATTGCAAGTCTTTTCAGTGAATGAAATGATTTAAAAAGAAAAGCCAAATTCTGGAAAAAAAAGGAAGTGACATTTTGAAAAAAAGTCAAATTCTGAGAAAAGGGCAACTACTAAGAAAAAAGGCATATTTGAGTTTGACACCCCTGCTCTAGTGAGTGGCCCAGCCCTTTGTAAATGTTTCTGTATGTGGCCCTCGTGAAAAAAGTTTGGACACCCCTGATCTAGAACTATTTCCCGCAATCAGTGTTTCTGTTATATCTATTGGTTAAAATCAGCCCATAAAATACTGGAAGATTTTTGGAGTTATTTGCATCTCTGACATCCATGATATCCAGCACGGTATCTCGACATCAAAGGCCCATTATTTTTCCTTTCCGTAATAGAAAGTCATCTTTTGTAAATGTATGAGTAGGCATGCAGGGACCAGCACTGGACTTATCACTCAAGCATGTTCCCAGGCATTAGTCTTGCATCAACTCGGTATTTGTGAAGCTGTGGAAATATGTGTGAAATAAAAAAATGTCATACACACAGTATAAACAAAGGGCTCCTAATGTTTAATGCCAACTCAGTGTTGCCATTCTGCGGAAAATTAAAGTATAGAACTGCTCATGCATAGTCGGGCTGCACGATTTGGGGAAATAATCTAATTGCGATTTTTCTGACAGATATTGCGATTCGAATTGCGATATTTGTTTTTAAGCGACCCAACGGAAGTTTATTGTAAAATACGGCCATATCTCCGGCTAGGAAGGTCGTATCAACGTGCTCCCGTCTCTAGCACCCCCGCAGCCCGAGCTACGAGTGAAAGAACTAAACTTACATGAAACTTCCGTTGGGTTGCTTTAAAGTCGAGCTTCAGTTTCAGATTCACCCTGTGATAGAAACATGTGATGGAGCACTACTAACCTGACTCAGATGGTTTGTTTCACCAAACCATCTAAAGCTCCACTTTCAAAAATGCTTGGCAGGTGATTGGATCAATCTGTCTATCACCTTCTATCATGGGCCACTTCTGATTGGTTAACAATGGCTGGTACATGTGGAGCACAGCACTTCTGATTGGTTAACAATGGCTGGTACATGTGGAGCACAGCACTTCTGATTGGTTAACAATGGCTGGTACATGTGGAGCACAGCACTTCTGATTGGTGTGGATGACTGACACACAAGAAAAAAGAAAATAAATTGCAGGCTTTGCGATTTGATAATTGTATCATTTCAAATCGCGATTTCGATTTAAAATCAATTAATCGTTCAGCCCTAAAGTATAGGTTTAAAGGGGTCTATTTTCAATCAGTTTGGCATCTCTAAATGTTGACTATGGTCACTCACTCTGCACTGCACTGAAAGAAGAGAACGGAAAGTCGTGAATGGTTTCATGCAGAGGATGTAAGCTGCTTGAAAGAGAAAAGAACACCTTGTGAAGTCTACAGACAGGGTGTTATAAACATAGCAGATATCTCTTAGCCTCCCAAAGGTTATCTGCTTCTTTGTAAACGTTTCACTTAGAAAGGGAAGGTAGACGTCTTTATATTAGGTTGAGACAAAAACAAATAATCAGTCAATATTAGACTCATATTAATTGCATTTGAGTTTTTAAATAATGTCAAACACAGGCTTCACATTCCTTCCATGCTGCTCATTTTAAATATGTCATGAATTGAATGTAAGATCAGGTTAAAATAGCCCCTACTTAATATTGCGAAATCACATCACTTAAAAGGACACTATTTGAGGAATGCAACTCCTCCTCTGGTATCAGCTCTTTGCTTACACAATACCAATATTTTTCAAGATAAATTAGTTTTAGACTTGGATTGAGAAATGAAGCTCAGGCTTCCTTTCCAAATAGTATTTTTATAATGGGAAACTCTTTGCAAGTAAGTCAAAACCGAGAATGGGAAGTGGTTTGAAAGTAGGAAGGATGTTTGGTTTATTTTGGGGAATTTGAATCTGAAGACAACTGATTTCCTCGGTCTATATCTCTGTCTGCTAGATAAACTGTCACATCTGAAATATTGGGCATTCAAGGTGAGAAATGTGTGTAATTATGATGGCACTAAGAATATAATAAAGCACACCCATTTGTAATCCATTTTCAGAGCTTGATCACTTAATCACAACCTTTATACCTTATAAGTCTCATGGTTTTGCTTTGATTTTAATGGCCTTTTTTCCTCACACAAAATTGTTTCAGACAAATATCAAGGTTTTTCTGATACGACCAAATTGTTTTTGCTTCACCACAATGCAACACCTATTTCTCAGAAAGGTCCTGTCACCAAAACCCCATGTATTCCTCACTCCTTCTACAGAGACGATGACAATGAACGAGTATAAATACTTTGGGGACAAAAAGGAGTCAAGAGGTTAAGTTGGCTCTTAATGAATCACCAACTCTTAGATACCACACTCAAACAAAGAAATGGTCACTCAGCAGGGTGCATCATTTTTAATCATGCAGTCGTTTTGTTCTAAACCTTTAGGAACAAGTTGGTCTTAAACTGCAGGTTGGCCTGTTTTAAGTAGAGAAAATGCACCCAAAGACGCTGTTTCTTTTCATTGAGATATTAGGAGAACACAATGAATCGAAAGTATACTAAGCGTTTAAGGTTCTGCTTTTATTCTGATGCAACTCCTGGTCATCTTTTCATTTGGTTGAATGAGCAACATGTGTCCTCGTTCAGTACTTCCTCTACGTCTATGGTGCAGTTCTAGGTGTGAGCTTTCCCTTCTCTGTGTAACTAGTTCCAGAAATGACATTTTAAAAGCTTTGAGTTCAATAAAGAGAATCAATGTGCCTCTCTGATATGCGAATACTACTTTGTCATATAGTAAATTCTCTTGCAGGGCTATTGAGCACTACACCACAAATTGCTGAACACAGTATGTAATGTATGGTCATCCACGTTGAGTAAAGTCTAAGTCACAGTGCAAGCCCATTGCGACCTCACAATGTAGCAACTCCTATGAAGAATGATTGCAAAATGACTTGACATTATTGCCACAAAAGATGTCAAACCACAATTAAAGCCCTTTCCTCTTACAGAGAGAAACTTAAGGGCGTTGTTGGTAGAAATGTTTAATTGTCTCAAAACAGGCCAGACTAACTTGCATTGCTAATGTTTTCTTTGTTAATGCTTTAATTTCTAAAAGGTGCTGATAAAGGACCGGTGGCTTTAGGATGACCTTGGGCCTAAGAGGGATTCCCTATCACCCCCGCTATCAGACAATAATGAAAAACCCTGACTTGATTTTCCAAACTAAACGCTATGAAGAAAGTTCCGTTGGTCATTTTCTGGAAGTCCCCCGTAATCGGCTTGTCATTCATTAAAACTAAGAGAGAGAGGAGTGGAAACAAAGTAGAAAGATGACTAACCGGAGGTACCGCTTCTGCTTTCCAGGCCTTAAATATCAGATGGCTCCAGACATTTGTCAGTTCACCAAGCCCTCTGGAGAAGAAAGAGCAACATTTAGCACTTTATTAAGTATTTATCTATTTAATTTAATATCTTTCACCCTTCTTGAAAATGGAAAACTGTGGAAGCATGTTCAAGGGAGTTCTGGTCGCCATCGCCCTGGTCGTGATGGCTCAGTATGGATCGGCAGGTAAGACTAAGATGCTGATTTTATAAAGGACTTTTCATCCTGTGAACTATTGTATTGTATTTATTATTAACTCGTACATGTTTCCATTCATGTTTAGCAGAAAAGCTGGATTCCTGCTGCACAACAGTCAGCAGAAAGAAGATAACTGATCCAATAATTGGGTACTATACCCAGAAGCCTAACCCTCCATGTGTCACAGCCATCATGTAAGTACCAAGAGCACTTGTTTGTTCCAAGTCAAATAATTAATCATTTCTAAATCAAGAAAACAGTCGGAAAGTGTAAAAAAAAAGCTTGCATTCTAAGACAAAATTACTAATCACCAATGTGTAATTTGTTTGTCATTCTTGCAGCTTTCAGACGGAGAAAGGTTATTTCTGCAGCTACCTGAAGTCTCCCTGGGTTCTTCTCAAGATCAGAGCATTCAAGTAAGTTCATTATTACCGTTCCTTTACACTCATTGTTCAACCCTTCAACCCCAAACTTGTTGTCTCATATGTTTTCTCTTATCTTTCTCACAGTAACGCAGTAGCTAGGGATGCTGCTTTGTCTACGGCCCCAGCATCATCTACTGTCTCCCTGCTGTCCATCATTACACCCACTGCAGCATCCTCCACTCCTCCTCGTTCTTCATCCCCCACTCCTCTCTCCTCATCCTCTTTTCCCTCTTCCTCATCCTCATTTCCCTCTTCCTCATCCTCTTTTCCCTCTTCCTCACCCTCTTTTCCCTCTTCCTCACCCTCTTTTCCCTCTTCCTCATCCTCTTTTCCCTCTTCCTCACCCTCTTTTCCCTCTTCTCTCTCCTTCTCCTTAACATCGGAGATACCTGCTGGTGAAAACCTTTCAGAAAACGAGTCGAGCAACGAGTAGCATCGTCTCCACCTCCAGCGAAGAGTGAATTCATCAAGGAGTTCAAGATAATAGCCCTTTCAAATAGCACTTGAAGATGATGTTAAATTATTATGTTTAATATTTAGTTCTGTTAAATGCATTAAGAGTGAAGTTATTTATTAGTTAATTGAACAGTGCTTATAGAAGTATTCATTTATTTATTACCAAATGTATTTATCAAGTTAGTTACTGTATACAAATTCATGGTAATAGTCCTGAGAAAAGGTATTGAGCTATTTATTCATTTAAAAACTTGTTGTGAAACCATGAGATATTTTAACAAATACATTTTCCACATCTGATCCTGCATCCTGTGTTTTTCTACATATTATCTGGCATACTTCTGACATTTTGTCTGCAAAAGCAAGAACCTAAGATTGAAGAGTTTTACACAGCTAGAGATTAAATATGAACCATGCCTCGTGGCAGCTGTGGTTAGTGTTTGGTGTATTTATCGAGCCATAATGAAAGAAAGTTGATAAATGTGTACCAGCTTCATTTTAAAAACAGCATATTTTTTATTATCATCCAAATGGTTTTTTTCCTGTCTTAAAACTACTTATACAAATGACTAAATAACATCAGAAAAAATATAAAATAGTTAACATTTTAAGATTGAATACCAACAGCTCTGGGCTTAAAATGTCATTAATTCTAATTAATTTAAAATATTTTTTAAATGAGTTCTCACAAGTGAAATACTAATAATTTGCAACATTAAATGCAATTGCATTGGTCAACTTTTTGGATATACGACCTCACAAGTTTAAAAATGGCAATAAAATGTTTTAGCTAGATGTTAGCTGATGCTAACGTTAGCTTCCAGCTGACTAGCTAACTTGTTTTTAGCGGCATAAACATGTAACGCTAGCTAAAGTTTTGTTTAAGTTATTCAACAGTATTTTTTTAAAGGTAATATGAACACTATTTAATAAGAGTGTAACATTCATATTATCTTAAATGAATTGTGATGTATATAGTGGCGAAGTCCCTCCCCTTCCGGTGGACCTCCATGGGACCTTATTTCGGAAAAAATATGTATTGAAGTCAATGGAGAGAGAAAGATTATCTTTCGATCCCGTTTGAATTGTGCCACGAATTACACATATGATATTTGTCAATTTAAAAGATCATTTTGCCAGTCAAATTTTTTTTCGTAAAACTGTGAAGTAACAAAAAAATGTGTGTGAAACGCTTAATGAACAACATCTCTGGTCTAGCAGACTCTCACAACAACACATGTCACAAAGATGACCGTCACTACTGTCTTGTCAAAAAAGTGATTGTCTACCCTGCCCTCACTATCACCACAATGAAACACGTCCACAATAATGTCATGCAAAGCTGCCTGCCTTCCTTTGATTCTCTCTGAACTGCCTAGTCTTTTTAATGTTTAATGTCAACCATTTGTGCAGATAGCATGAAGTAGAACAGATCGCCGATGCTAATGTAGCGTTAGTGTTAGCATTTATCCCCCGGGCTTAAATGGTGTATTATAGAATGATCACACCGGTGTGACAGTACTCTTCAAAGGGTTCACGAAATATGACTACTACTCTTACTGTTTAACATTTTGGGTTACTTGATGTTAAGGCTAATACAAATGACAAGGCTAAGACTGTAATGCTAACTAACGTGCTTGCTACTAGCTAGGTAGCTAACTTGATCCAGCCACTCCTGGTCCTTTCATCAGACGGGAAGCGAAAGAACGAGCAAGACCCATTGCTGGTATGATAACAACCTGGTACTAAGCACACAGGCATCTTGTTAAAGTTATCTTAGATCTTAGCTATCTCTTATATTTAGCGGAGGAAAACAATTATGACATCACTTACTCTGGGATTTGTAGTCTTTCTAGTTGCGTATTTTCCATAGTCTTATATTTCAACAGTTTTACCACAAACTGTGACTTTTTTGACATGGAAATGTTTTTTTAAGATTGACAAACATAATATGTGTAATTCGTGGCACAATTCAAACGGGATCGAAAGATAAGTTTTCTCTCTCCATTGACTTCAATACATAATTTTTCCGAAATAAGGTCCCATGGACCGGAAGTAGATGGGCGTGACTTCGCCACTCTATTGGTTAATTTCTTACCACAAACGTCTTCACGAAGTTGTAATGACTGTTAACATGACAGCGGTTGGTTTGGGGCTGGCCAATCAGGTGTCTTGTAGGCGGGACTTTGGTCACGCGACAATCATTACCACTGACATCTACTGATATTTGCTGATGTGTATAAACTAGGGCTGTCAAGTTAACGCGTTAATAACGCGTTAACGCAAAAAAAAATTAACGCCACTAATTATTTTAACGCGATTAACGCATGTGTATTTTTTTTCCTCGGCCACCCCGTAGTTTCAGAGCGCATCGAGTTTAAAATACCATCTACAAGCTGATGCTGACAGCCCCGCTCCTGCCGCCCGCTTGTGGCTGACCACACTTCCACGCTCACCGGCAGGCACCGACTGGCTATTGGGAGGACCGGGAGGGTGTGTGTATGTGTGGCTCGAGCGAGCGAGAGAGAGACCTTACGTGCATTGTTGTTGTTAGCATCTGGTGCTAGCTAGCTGCGCTAACAGATATAAGGAGCTGCTTAAATGAAAACAGAGGAGCGACATTTCGCCGACAACTGCGCCGAGCACTTGACTTTATGCAGGAAGCCAGACAGTGGGACATTGTACGAAAAGTCAGCACACTCAGCACGGATAGTGCGCAACAAGATTGCAGCGTCTAGGCAGCTCCCATTCGAGCATATGCCTTGAGTTACACATAGCTCCAACGATCCATCTCTCTCTCTCTCACTCACACACACACACACACACACACACACACACACACACACACACACACACACACACACACACACACACACACACACACACACACACACACACACACACCATTTTTATTGTATTAGGTTCCAGGTTGAATTGAGGCGAGTATTTGTAATGTTCAGAGGTTGTTGTGTTTAATATTCATGAGAATATTTGTCATTGTTCAAATGATAATAAACATTAGCATAAAGCATATTTGTCCACTCATATGTTGATAAGAGTGTTAAAAACTTGAAAAATATTCCTCTAAGGTACATTTAAAACAGATCAAAAATGTGCGATTAATTTGAGATTAACTATGGACAATCATGCGATTAATCGCGATTACATATTTTAATCGACTGACAGCCCTAGTATAAACTGTATTTATGTGTAGCTTTGGTTGCATTTTACTGCAGATTAAAGTTGTGCTAATTTTAAATTGTGTATAAACTGTTGGGAAGTTTAATCAACATCAATGTATCATATTCCACAAAATGATGCTATGTTTTCAGCGTTGATGTCCTTTGAGCAACAGCAGGCTGTCTCCAAAAATGAAATTCTTCATGAGCTCTGTGATGATGAATGTTCCAGTTGAGCCAAGAGGACTTTTTATATTGTTGATTTAGCTTTTTAGGAGATTTTCTCAACCCATAAATCATTTGTCAGTTTATCAGATCTCCAAATCACCAAATTTGGAGACACATAGTTTTACGAAACTGTAGAAGCAGAATATGGAAAGTAACAAACGCAGTCAGAAATGTGTAGTGGACTAGGACAAAATGCTTCTTATATTTAATATCAATAAAAACAAGTGAGAAGGGGGAATTGCTGTTGTCAGTTTAATCAATGTATAGCTAAACTATTAAACGCATTTTAAGATTTTCCAAAACTAAACGCTATGAAGGTCATTTTCTGGAAGTCCCGAGTAATCGGCGTGTCATTCATTAAAACTAAGAGAGAGAGGAGTGGAAACAAAGTAGAAAGATGACTAACCGGAAGTACCGCTTCTGCTTTCCAGGCCTTAAATATCGGATGGCTCCAGACATTTGTCAGTTCACCAAGCCCTCTGGAGAAGAAAGAGCTACATTTAGCACTTTATTAAGTATTTATCTATTTCATTTAATATCTTTCACCCTTCTTGAAAATGGAAAACTGTGGAAGCATGTTCAAGGGAGTTCTGGTCGCCATCGCCCTGGTCGTGATGGCTCAGTATGGATCGGCAGGTAAGACTAAGATGCTGATTTTATAAAGGACTTTTCATCCTGTGAACCATTGTATTGTATTTATTATTAACTCGTACATGTTTCCATTCATGTTTAGCAGAAAAGCTGGATTCCTGTTGTACAACAGTCAGCAGAAAGCAGATAACTGATCCAATAATTGGGTACTATACCCAGAAGCCTAACCCTCCATGTGTCACAGCCATCATGTAAGTACCAAGAGCACTTCTGTTTGTTCAAAGTCAAATAATTAATCATTTCTAAATCAAGAAAACAGTTGTGTATTCTAAGAAAAAATTACTAATCACCAATGTGTAATTTGTTTGTCATTCTTGCAGCTTTCAGACGGAGAAAGGTTATTTCTGCAGCTACCTGAAGTCTCCCTGGGTTCTTCTCAAGATCAGAGCATTCAAGTAAGTTCATTATTACCGTTCCTTTACACTCATTGTTCAACCCTTCAACCCCAAACTTGTTGTCTCATATGTTTTCTCTTATCTTTCTCACAGTAACGCAGCAGCTAGGGATGCTGCTTTGTCTACGGCCCCAGCATCATCTACTGTCTCCCTGCTGTCCATCATTACACCCACTGCAGCATCCTCCACTCCTCCTCGTTCTTCATCCCCCACTCCTCTCTCCTCATCCTCTTTTCCCTCTTCCTCACCCTCTTTTCCTTCTTCCTCATCCTCTTTTCCCTCTTCCTCATCCTCTTTTCCCTCTTCCTCACCCTCTTTTCCCTCTTCTCTCTCCTTCTCCTTAACATCGGAGATACCTGCTGGTGAAAACCTTTCAGAAAACGAGTCGAGCAACGAGTAGCATCGTCTCCACCTCCAGCGAAGAGTGAATTCATCAAGGAGTTCAAGATAATAGCCCTTTCAAATAGCACTTGAAGATGATGTTAAATTATTATGTTTAATATTTAGTTCTGTTAAATGCATTAAGAGTGAAGTTATTTATTAGTTAATTGAACAGTGCTTATAGAAGTATTCATGTATTTATTACCAAATGTATTTATCAATGTTAACAAGTTAGTTACTGTATACAAATTCATGGTAATAGTCCTGAGAAAAGGTATTGAGCTATTTATTCATTTAAAAACTTGTTGTGAAACCATGAGATATTTTAACAAATACATTTTCCACATCTGATCCTGCATCCTGTGTTTTTCTACATATTATCTGGCATACTTCTGACGTTTTGTCTGCAAAAGCAAGAACCTAAGATTGAAGAGTTTTACACAGCTAGAGATTAAATATGAACCAT